TTTTTTTTTATATTTTACTCGAATTGTCGTGTGAATCCAAGCCAGTCAGTCAATTATTTTGAGACATAGTTGTCTGACTAAAAGTTATTAGCATGATGACTGTGGTGCCATACAACTAACATTATCAACTCATTTCATAACTAAAAAGCGCGGTAAATTTGAAATTTGGAGCTAGTTCCTTGCTAAAAAAAAAAGTCATCGTATTCGACATACAAAACCTCTATAGATATCTCTGAATACAATACATTTCAATTCACATTAATTTTTATTAAATTAAAAATCGATTGATTGATTTAATCGATTTTGATTGTTTTTTTGTTGTTGAAAGAATTGTACATTCCAATTGATAAGAGCTTTTTTCTATCATCCTTGTGTCGAATGCTGATATGAGGCTGTAAGAATGAAAATGGCAATACATGAATAAACATTCTGAAACGCATCAAGAAAAAAAATCGCAAAAATGAATCATGAGTTCTGAATATACAAAAGTGAAACATGAATTTACATGGGCAGCATAGAAGGTTCATGGTTCACTTTTGCGTATTCAGAACTCATGATTCACTTTTGCGAATTTTTTTTTCTTAATGCGCTTCAGAATGTTCATTCCTGTATTGCCATTTTCATTCTCACAGCCTCATATGATTCAGTCACTTTCTCTCAAAATTGTCTGATGAAGTCTTTTAATTTCAAGTGTTTTGTGATAACATTTTTGGTTTGCTCTATAATATATTTCACAATGTGAAATTCACAATAAGGATGACACTTAATTGACATGACTTCTTCTTATCTATTTTTCATAAATGATTTAGATTACATAATATTCTTATGTTCGCCATTATTCCAAAACCGGGCGTTTTCGTTGGAAAACGATATCATGTTCGAAATCGATATTCCATTCATTTCCCAGACGTTCACGAAGAATTTGCTGTTGTTCTGCTTTAATATAGCTCCTTGGGAAGGTGCACCTGTTCAATTTCCTATGATTTTCAAAGAATGCAACGACGGAATCAATTTGAAAATCAATCACAATTTCAAGCGTAGCATCGGTCAAATTCGTCAAATCGGCGGTCAATTGATCCAAGTTATCGAAGAAATCAAATGTTTGCATCAAGTGTAAGTGACGTAGTTGTGTGTGATTTTTGAAGAATTCCATCCATTTGCTTGAATGTGCTGGATCATAGATCATTTTCAATGATTCAAGCCGTGGCATTGACAGTTTAGCGAGTGAGTTTGTATCTCCGGCTATAAAATTGAGCATTTTCACACTTTTAAACTGAACAAAATCATTGACAGCCCCATAAATCGTTAAATTTTCAATATTTGGCAGATGTTGACCGATGAATTTGATCAAACTCGAATCGCGTACTTTAGGTTCAATGCTTCGAATGGTTGGATTTTTTCGAATCAACTCTCTGACGTTTTCATCTCTAACATCTTTTAAACTGAATGTATGGAGCGAAAAATGTTGCAAATGTGGGAATGTGCTGTTGATAAACCGATAGTTCGCGGCTTCGATTACCTCCAAATTTAATCGTCGTAGTTGTGGAAATAGAACGTTCAGTCGTATCCTAAACTCATCAATTCGTGAGCGAATTGTTAGCTCTTCAACCGCTTCGAATGGCTTCGTGAATTTTTCCAATAAATCATGTTGCAACCTCAATTCAAGTCGATTCAACGCTTTTGAACAGTATTTGTTCAGAAATTGAGTAATTTTCTCCACACCAGACATGTCTAAATCGTAGACGTAGCTGAATTTTACCGCTTCAAAATATTTTCCAAAATACTTGAGCACATTCAAAGCCAATTGGACATCGTAAATGATAAGCTTATTTGGACTCTCTTCGAATCGTTTTGTTTTTCTCTCTTCAATACTTTCTCTTTTTTTAGCAAAGATTTCAAGCTTGTAGTGTCCATATTTGCGTTGAAACACCTCACCAGCAACGTCCATATATCTCGAATCTATTTGCACCAGATTCAGTAGATCGTTCCATTCCAAGCGATTGAAGATAACGTATGAAATATCATCATACAAGTCGGTGAGTTGTGTTTTAATTTCTCCATTCTGATCGTTTAATTTGAAGCCACTTGAAGAGCTGCTCAACAACACAGCCAAAAACGTAGAAAGAATTAATTGCATTCTTTGAATTCACAATAACAGTCTAAGCGGTCGAGTTTCAACTCAATTCTGTTTCACACTGGACCAACCATTTAATAGCAAGGGGCTTATAAATTATAACTTTCCATTTTTTCCGGCGATTTTTTTTTCTGATTTGATAAGCATTTTTATTTAATAACTTAATTGAAATTTGCTCGTAGCAACTCAAATTTGATCATCAATGTTATCAACTCAATGTAACCAATTAATCAAAATCGAATGACGCACAGAAAATTTTAGCTTTTCTTTAAACGATAGCAAGAGATTGTATTATTAATACAATCTATCAATACCATACGGCATAAGCAAGACCCTAATGATCCATCAGAAACAAGCAGCCAGTTTTAATCAGATGTTGAACAATTGTAGTGCGCCTCTAGAGAATGACGGTCAAATTTGGTTCAATTTTTTTTTGCACTCGGTGTGCAAGAATAAATCGAGTTGATTTTAACTTGAACACGTTGGAACAAAAATTTTCCGTTATTCTGTAGCGGCGCTCTGCAATTTTACACTTTGTATTTTGTATACAATTATAATCATGTGGAAGCAGGACACGTACAAATATAAAGAAACATTGTTTTAATACGTTTCTTTCAACATTGTCTGATGAAGGCTTTTATATTCAAGTGTTTTGTGATGACAATTTTGGTTAGCTCCATGATAAATTTCACATTGTGAAGAATTACGCACAATGGACATGACTTTTTCTTATTTATTTCGATTACATGATATTGTTATAAATATGTTTGCCATTATTCCAAAACCGACTATTTTTGTTGGAAGGAACCATGTTAAAAATCGATATTCCATTCATTTTCCAGACGTTCAAGCAGAATTTGCTGTTTCTCTGGATCGCCTCTTGGGAAGCTCCACCTTTTCAATTTCCTATAATTTTCGAAGAATTCAATCGTTTTTCAATTTCAATTTTGATCATTTTTTATTTCGTAATTGTTTATCAGAACAAACTACTGAAGAACATGTGCGGTGGAGAAAAATCGTTTTATTCCAAGAATATTTTACAATTTGGCTGCGATTTTGTAGAAACACGTAGAATTGACAAGATTTTCTTCCACAGTTTTTCAAGAAATGTTCTCCATTACATTTGTTGGCTCTTATTTATCAAGTTTCAGAAACTACATAAGAATATTTTTTATAAAATACGGTTCGTCGTACTAGGGTACGGATATTAAATTTATTGTACTGTTTGCTAACCGTATTTCGAGACGAATAAGTACAATACGTTCAAAACGCTGAATTGGAAAACGCAGAAATGAATTGTTCTAAAAGTTTCGAAAAACTTTTCCATTATGCCTACCAAACACACCCAATCCGACACGATCGCACTCGCCGATCTATATTGCTTGTATATTACCATCATAAAAAAACATGAACACCATTTGAACTCTTATCTAACGATGAATTGTTTCATTAGATAAGATCCAATATCAACACGAGCGTAAAATCTCTTAAAAATATACTCAAAATTATATTAATTCAAATTCACACCTGATCACCACTAGTGCACCAGTGTCAAAATATACAAAATATGCATATTTTATGTTTATTTGAAGAAAAATTAGTTTAAAAATTCCGAATGAGTTTTTCGTTGGACTGTAAAGCTGTTATGATTTATTTCTTACTTCAACCATAAATTACATCATTTTTGTAGAAAATGCCATGATTTCGATGAGTGAATCAGAATGACCTTGAATTTCAAGCTAAATGCATAAAGAGTTTCTCGAAATAAATCGGCTACTGTGCGAATCACAGCACCAACAATGTATCCACATCGATAAGTGAATGTTACCCTTTCTCATCCCTCTCATTTATCTCTCGTTCATTTGTTTCTGTCTCACATTCACCATTCGCTTTGCTACGTGACAGCTGATATTTTTCAACCGAAATTGTCATTTCGAATCCGATCTGAATTTAATTACGTTGATAAAATCGCTTATCAGCGAAGAAATCAAAATGAATTCGGAAGGCGATTCGAACCAATGTGAATACTGTAAGCGGAAAGTTTGTTACTGTTGTTGTTGTAAACGAATGTATGGTTATCGTGACCAGCAAAACATATGCAAATGAAGATTGAACGTTACTGAAAACCAGAAATACGGTGACACCGAGTGACAAATTATTCATGCATTTAAAATCAATTGCGAAAACGAGATCGAACGTATTTACACCAAAACAGAGTAAAACTCGTTGCACGATTCTGCGAGAGGCTCAGTAATTGGTGATCGGTGAACAGTGAACGGTGATCTTTCTTTATTCGATCAGTTTTATTTTCTTCAAAAGGTAGTTTTGGCTTTTTTCTTGTAAAAATTGCAATTTTACTGAAGTTTTGGTTTAGTTTTTGGAAACATTTTGTTTTTTTCTGTAGTGTTATGGTATTTTGTTGAAGTTTTAACATTTTTCATCCAATTTTACTAGAAAAATCGCAAAATTCATCAAACTTCAACGAAATCTGGATTCGCCGTTATAATTATTGTCAAATATCGTGACAGTTTTTTTTTTAATTTCTGCATTTTTTTTGGAAATTTTGAATTTTTCCATCGAAATTCTGATTTCTTCTGTTGAAATTTAGAATTTTTTTGTTTTAATTTCGGATTTCTTTCCATCAAATTTCCGATCCTGTGTCATATTCACGACTTATAAGAAGAGTTTTGATTTTTTCTGGAATTCCAATACAGAATTTAAGTTGACCATTTATTCAACCCAAGAGAAAATGAAGTGGCTATTCGTGCTAGCTCTCTGCCTGGCTGTCGCTTTTGCCGATGAAGCCAAAATTGAACCAAAGACCGAAGCTAAAGTTGAAGAGAAGACTGAAGCTAAAACCGAAGCTCCGTGAGTGAATATGCCATTTTACTCTTTTCCACACTCATACTTATTGCCTATTGGCTAGACAGCTAGACACTATGCGTAAAAGTTGAATTCGAATTTTTATTTTAACCGTTTTTTTTAATATTTTTTTTTCCAACCAATGCAAATTTCCATCATATAGACCAAGCAAGGAAGTTCAATTACGTCAATTGTTGATTTCAGGAGGTGAGTAACTTTTACGCCGAATATTTTGTCCGAGTGATTAAGCTTCACATGATTTATTCGTTTTCTAAGAATTGCCATCTTGTTCTTCATTTTGATCTTGGTGAAGATTTCTTGTCTTTTCCTCGAACTATTAAATTCATTTATCAAATGCCTTTATTCCACTGATTCAAATTCATTCTAGGTGAAATAACTGAAATTAAAAAGTTAATCGCAGACGGTGCCAATGTGAATGCTAAATACGAAGATGGCGAAAGTCCATTGCTGTTGGCTGTAAACTCAGGTACTTTTTGGTTTTTGCACTTAATGGTAGTAGGTAAAGTGACAAGATATTCCAAACTTTGAACTAAAAAAGTGTCCGAACTTCAACAATTCATTCAATCGAAAAAAAAGTCGAGAACTAGGGGTTTCATTCAAGGCTTGAGAAATGTGAATATTTGTGAATATTGTGGATATTTTTCTCATTGAATCATCGTCAAAATTTCGATTATATGTGAATGTTGTGAATTTTGTGAATATTTTGAATAAAATTTCCAAGATGGCGACGAATTCAAGATGGCGGCTGATGAGAACGCCTGAACTGTCAAATAAGAAAGACTGAATATCTGTGAATATGAGTGGATATTCTGAATTTAGCTCAAAACACACCGGAATTCATGAATTTTTGAATGATAAATTCCCCTAGGTCGAGAATGAAGAAAAGTCGCCAATAAAATATAAACCATTCGTAATCATAAAAAGTGATCTTAAAAAAAGAAGTAAATTGCTCTCGATTATCTAATCCAAGCATCGTTTCGTCATATTTCAACGCTCTTAAGCCGGTTTCTCTACACGGAAACGTACAGCTTTCGACATAAATCACTTGATTATGCATTCACCTAGATAGCAAATGAATGCGTCATGAGCTCGATCGCGCGCATTGATATTTGAAAACGAAACCGGACTGGAAAGAAATTGATAGATAAAATAAAATCGATCGAAATATTTCCACACCTCATTAGTTTCAGTGACATTTGCATGTTTTATGCGATGAATGGATGGATTTAAGCATTAAATCTAAATTAAGAAACACATTAAGTCGGTTAACGTCACATCGAATTGACCTTTATCCATTGGAGATCTAGAAAATTCGATTTTTTCCACACAAAACATGTGATTTGTTACGCTAATTGGATTAAAGAGAGAGAATGATCTAGACTAGACATCACCGGCATTTGCCATCATACATACAGATGAAGACTCTTCATTGGATATTTTGGACAATACTTACTAGCTTTTTTTAGAAGAATAACGTAGTTTTCTAACAAACTACCAATCAATTTTTCAGGCAAACCGGACTTTATCAAATTACTCATCGAAAAGGGAGCTGATGCTAATGCGAAATTCCAAGAAAATTGGGCTCCACTTCATCGTGCCACCTACTTAGGTCTTGATAAAATTGCTGATGCTCTTATTGAAAAGAAGGCCGATATCAATGTCAAAAATGTGGAAGGATACACCGCATTGCACGTGGCTTCTGCTCAGGTACGTAAAACAGCGTAATCTGTAATTTCTAATTGGCAACGTCTTATAGACCAATAGAGCGAGTTGTCGATTTTTATTTGGGCTTAACATATCTTTAGTGAAGATTATTCATTTTGATTTTGATAAAAAAAAAATCGTTCAAACCGTTCATTTCCATCTTAGGGACACGAGAAAGTCACTGAAACTCTCCTTAAAGGTGGTGCCGACATTGAATTGCTGTCTCGTGAAAAAACTACACCTCTTCATTTGGCTGCCGAAACCGGCCAAGCTAAAATTATTGAAATTTTGCTTAAAGCAGGCGCTAAAGTTGATGCTAAAGAAGAAGACAATTGGACACCACTGATGTTAGCCAGCCGTGAGGTAGTTAACGACTATTTTCTATGGTGTTTAGTATTTATAATGAGCTAAACCACGTTTATTCATCTATTCTACTAATTTACTACTATCACTATTCGAAAAGGGTCATGAAAAGGTCGCTGAAATCCTCATCGAACATGGTGCCGACGTTAATGCCGAAGCTACCGACAAAACTACAGCTCTTCATTTAGCTGCTCAGAATGGTAATTCATAAAACTGGAATTCTATGATGCATTTTTCATCATCTCGATTAAAATCAAGATATCGCAATGATTAAAGATGCGATGAATCCGATTGAATGTTGATTTTACACTTCAAATCAAATCATTCCACATCTTTGCCATGAATGTTTTTCATTTTTACCATTTCTCTTTATGTTCGCCTTCATTTTTATGCCAATTTTTTGACTTTCGCCATTTTTATTCGATCAGGTAACGAGAAAGTTGTTGAACTTTTGATCAGCAAAAAAGCCAAAATCGACGTAAAAGACAACGAAAATGCCACACCTTTCTGCAAAGCACATGAAAAAGGTAATGAAGAAAGAGAAGAACTAAATTGTTTGGAATGTGTGACTCTTTCATTTCTCTTCAACTTTCCTTTACTTCATCTTCTTTAGTTCCAATATTTCTTCCGATGTTCCTTGTTTTTCTTCTTTTTTATTCCTCTCTCCTAACTCTTTATTTATTTTTAATTACTTTTCTTCATTTCTCCGATTTTTCTATATTTTTATTTTCCATTTCAATTTTAAATTTTTTTCTTTTTTTGTCAACTTTTCAGATTTCAAGAAAATCGAAGATTTACTAGCCGAAAAGGGTGCTTCAAAAAAATGTGAAGAGAAAGCAGCAGCCAAACCAGAAAAAGCAGAGAAATTAGAGTAGTGCCTTATTGATGAAATTCAGTATTGAGACAAACAAAAAATTAAAAATTTGTAGAAAAAAAACCTAAACGTAAGAAAATTTAAACACAATCTGATTCTCTCATAAAGAACATGCACCAGATTGCATTGTTTTGTATTTTATTGGTAAATTTGTGAAATAAAAGTTGTTGATTTGAGAAAAAAAATTGAATTTCTTCTACCTTTGATAAAGATACAAAAAAATGAAAATTGTTGAATTCGAACAGTTTAATGAATACTGAAATGGGAGAAATCAATGAAGGCATGATCAATACTTTCATGAGAGTAACAATTTGTTACTAACAAATTAAGATTTTTCGGTTTGAATTTGTTCAAAAGAAGTTGAGCAAATGCAATTGAGCTTGAAAAAAAAAGCCAGTCAACGTTTGAAATTCAAATCGTTTAGTCATAGTCTGGAGTGCTTGTTCACAGATCACTCGACACTGGAATCCAAAATGTGTAGAGTGGTCATTCTATGACCATTCTACTCGAATCGAGTAACTTGAATATGATTCACGGTTCATAATAATTGTTATCGATCATTGTTATCGGACCACTCGTCAACGGACGGCAAAAATCTGTCTCATATCACGTCTAATTGAGTTAATTCTGTCTTATGCAACCTTTTTTATAACTCCATTAACAAAATCATTTTTCTGACTGAATAAATCGGTGGTTATCTTACGTCAGTCATAAACAACACATTCAAAATTTACGATTCTTAAATTGAGACAACTTTCTTTTTTTGCAAGTTCATTGAAGCGATTACTTTGTATGACATAAACATCATCAATCGGGGAAACCCACTCAATTTAGCACTTGATTTCAATCATTCTGTTGGTTTAATCAGCCAATTTGGCCAGTGACAATGTGTAGTAAACATCGACATTCACAACATACACTTAGTGCGTTTAGTCAATCCAAGTGTTGGGAACAATGCACGAATGTGTTGGTGTTGTTTTTCGATTCAAGTTCAAAATAGAGCGAAATTAGGAGCACAAACAAAACGGCTGCAATTCATCAAATTTAAATTTGTTTATTATTATTTTCGTTGTTTATGAGCTTCACTTTCTATATAATATGTTTGATATCGCAATATGCGGCTAAATTAGCGGAATATTTTGATTTAAGTCGATGATTTAATCCTATTGAATCACACACGTACGCAACGTAACATCAGCGCAATCCAAATGCCCATTTGGCACGTTTCTCTTCGGCTTCTTTGAAGATTGCCATCATTTTTGCATTTCCTGCAATAGAATCATCTTCAGTTAGAGTTAATTTTAGCAAATATATTGACGTAATTCATTCAAATTTGGATTTTTCCATCGAAGTTGTTTTTTGTTGGACTCTTTTTTTTTGGAATATTTCTCGGAATATCACCTTCGGCATGATCTCGTGGAGTGTCGCCTCTGTTATTTTTAGCATTTAGATGAGCACCACGTTCAATAAGACTTTTCGCTACCTCCGGTGAACCTGAAGAACAATTTTGAAATTGGAAATATCGTATTCAATGAATCGAAATCGTATTCAAGTTGAATTGTAAGTTGAAAGCATGCGCATTGCTCGTCAAAGTTCCAAATAGATCAAGTCTATTATATTTGAACGAAAATTTAAATTAAAAACGTGAATTAATTTGAAAAATGGACTTTGTTTGCAAATACCATACGAAGCAGCCACATGGAGAGGTGTGTCTTTCAAAATGTTTTCAGCGTTGACATCAGCTCCGTTTTCAATGAGAATTTTTGCGACATCGGGTGAACCTGAAAATTTGAAAATATAATGACATTTTCATATGAAAAATGTTAAATGGAAGAATGCCAAAAAATCAATTCAAAGGTTTAAATTCGTTGCTTACGTTGCTGTGCAGCTCTGTGTAAAGGGGAGAATCCTTGATGGTTTGTGATCCTAACCTGGGCTCCGTATTCTATCAGAAGCTTTACAGTGTCTACTTTACCTGTAATAGAAAAACCATTGTGGACAAAAATTTAACAATCTCTTTAATTTAAGCAATTTTCTCTGCGTGCTCTTCTGTTTGTACTTGTTACTAAAAATGGCATCATTTAAGAGTTATTCCGAAGCTTTCTCTATACTCACCATGGGAGGCCGCATAGTAAAGTGGTGTCTTTCCAAGATTATCTCGAACATTCACTTTGGCCCTTTTCTCAAGCAGAATTTGCAAAAAATCCGTCAAACCTGGCAAATTTATAAAGGAATCGTATTGATAGTATTAAATTGATGAAATAAAAAAGGTTAGGAAAACGACAAAAACAGACAAAAAAGCATGCTTTTTCTACAGGCAAGAAGAATAGACCAAAAACTATGGAATCTTAAGAAATGTTCATGAATGATGTTTAAAAATTAAAAAAAAAATGAACCAAAAATGTCGAATTTTAAGATAAAAATAATACAAATTCCAGACATTTTTCCTCTCCAGTGGACCAACTCGCTTCTTACCCCAGTAAGCAATCCAATGAAGTGGTGTGGCTTTTGTGGTGGTTTTGATATTAACGTCAGCACCCTTTTCCAAAAGTGCCTTGATGATATTAACTTTAACTGCAAGGGAAATGGATTATAAAAGATCAATACAAAATTTCTACCGTGAATATTATTATTTGAATTTCGTTTTTCAATCTATGGACCCTCATTATATTTTTGAAAGAGAGAAAAAGTGTGTGCAGGCAAAATTCAGGGGAATTTTTAAGGTTGTTTACAATTCTTAGCAGCCAAATAAAGAGGTGTCTCTCCAGCATAGTTTCTAGCATTCAAGTTGGCTCCATTTTCTATTAGAAATAGGGCAATATTTGGGTTACCTACATGAGAAGTGAAAAAAAAAAAAACAGATGAATTGATGAACTAAATTTGAAAGCAACACTTCTAAGGTTTAATAATAACTATTAAAACAGGACTGACTTGACTCAATAGCAGCATGAAGTGGTGTTGATCTGTTATTATTCGGAATGCTTAACTCTGCGCCATTTTCTGCCAACAATTTAACTATGATCATGTTACCTTGAATATAAATGATTCAATAAATAGAATTGTCTATACCGAGAATGGAATTAAATTGAATTGAGACATGCCATTTAATGCAGCGATATACATTGGAGTGTCTCCATCTTCATCTCTGATATCTAGGTCGACATCTCGATCGATAAGCTTTTTAACACCCGTTGAATTGCCTAAATGAAAGAATTGAGACGGAATTGTGTGATGCATAAAATGCACTGGAAATACAATCACTCGAAGAAAAGTGGCTTGATAAATGTGGCTTATAATTGAATATTTAAGTTGAAAATGTTGCTTTTTGGTTATCAGTTTCAAACTGACAGTTTGGCTTTCATTCCATTTTTGACACAAACTTTTAACATTATTTCCACTCAATTTTTGACTTCTTATTCCAAACAAAAATGTTAACGTAATTCATTTTATGCCAAATTACCTTCTACACTCACCGATATAAGCATAATGATGTAGTGTTGAATATAGTGTAGGAAGTGAGCTCACACTGTGATAAAAAAAAATTTGCAAAAAAGAAATTTTAGGATGAATTTTTAAAATGTTCAAGTTTTACTCACGGTATCGGATGATTGGCTGACGTCCGAAAACCTTAAAATATGGAAGAAAATTTTAAATTTTCTGCCATAATTTAGAACTGTGTTAAGAACTTTCAGCTTTAAATTTTCCCATATTCAAGTGTAAAATTCGAAGAAGCCACAAAAGTATCGATTGACTCACCTAAATTTGATCCAATCATATCTGCGCCGAATAGAATAGTCACCACAAGTAAAAATCTCATCTTGTTCTCTTTTGGAAACGTGCTTACAGCCGTACAACTTCCGAGTAACTGCGATAAGTACGAAGAGTGTGCTCCGTATTAATATGAGTTAATGAAATAAAGCGCCAGATTCTACATATGCGTTCGTCTTTCTCTGAAGGTCTTAATCAAACTCAATTGAATGTCTTGATTCAATTTCTACGTTTTATCCAAAGAAAGATAAAAGATGAAGAAGAAGAAACAAATGCAAACAGAACAATAAACAATCTAATATTCCCATAACACAAACCATAGCACAGCGAATACACAAGGCAGCTCGTGAATGGGCAGTTTGTGATTTCATCTCATTACATCCGGCGCACTGATTCGTTGAAAGTTAAATCATATCAAAAACGTGTGCTCTTATTTCGACGTCATTGATGTGTATGAAGATTGCTTCGACGCAATAAATCAAATACAACGGCCACCTTTCACTCTCAATGAATTTGTTTTCTTCTTTTTGAACAAAAAAAATTCCTCTGAAAAGTTGTTATGCAATTTATTTCAATGAAAGAAAATCAGAAATCTGGTTCAGAAACAAACTCAAAGAAAAACGTACGCTGAAAATTTATCCTCACACAGTCAATAGACGCCTCTCAATAGAGAGGCGACACATTGTTATGATCGCCGTTTTGTCTTTCTCTTGGATTGGAGATCTATATATTGATCTTGTGAGGTTAAATTCACATCTTTCCTGAGCAATTCCAATTACTTAACGTGATTCACGTCAAAAATTACAATGGAAAATCACTTGAATTGAATCAACCTTTCAGTGTCTGTACCTGAAGAAGAGGTTTCGATGAGCCCAGAACAGCTAATTTCTAAACAAAAAGCCAATAATAATCTCTTCTCATGCAAAAATCTTCGATTCTTCTTATTATTATAGTTTCGAGAAAAGGGGTTTATTCTTTTTAAAAAAAATGACTGTGTCTGACTTGACGACAATTGAGACTGAACCTGAGACCGAGCGTATCTAATGATAACTGAATTACGTTGCATAATATCTGCCGTTCGTATGCAATGATTTGATAAATTGAGAAATTATTTTACGTCAAAAGAGATTCAGTCACAGTGTGAAGTTCACATGCTTGAAACGTATTATGCTTTTAGACACAAACTACCGTCAATTAGGTTAAGGATTGAATATATTATTATCCGCATTGCTTTTCGCGTTATCTCCCAATTGGCTGCAGCTATTCTGATTTTGTGACTCACAAACCAAACCGAATCGTGAAAACTTTGAACATGTCCATGGCAAGCATTGGAATATTTGTAACAAAATCTAAGGTTTCAAGATGATTTCTCTGGATTGCAAGTTGCAAAGTCAAAATAGCTGCAGCTAATTGGGAAGTGACGCTTCAGAACAGTTAATAATATGTTACCTGATTCATCGGTTACAAGTAAGAATAACAGTGTAGCAACGACCGTGAAAATGAAACAGATTCTTTGATTGATATAAAAAAAAACATCGCCGAAAAGTTTAAGTTCTTATTATAATTCAATTTGTCTTTATCTTGTTTACAATTTATTTCGGTTTTTCATTTCACATTTTTTGAAAAAACATAAACTTGTTGACAAGTTAGCATTAATATTTTAATTATCGTCTTTTCTGTTCTTAAATTTCTAAATGTAAGCGGAAAATGACGAAAAAATATGATGATAATGACGTATGAATGACGAATTTGGCATGAAAAATTCAAGAATGTTTCAAATTATAGTTTTTGTTTCTATCAAACTAGTCAACATTTTATATCATTAAGGAGTTTTTTTTCTTTCTGGGAAATGTTCGAAAAAAACATTGAAATAACAAAAAGTAATTGGTTTTGACATTTTTTGCAGAAAAAAATCGCATATTCTGGCATCTTCATTCGAAAATGCAAAGTTTTCGTCTATGGTCTACTAAATCGTTTGAAATCTAACTGAATTTGCTTTGTTTTTACATTTTTTCCCCCTATGTCATTTATTGTATTTTTTTATTTCCTAATTCGCATTCTTTTTTTCTTCATTTTTTTTCATGTTTTATCAATTTAGTTTGTCTTGGTTTATTTTTTTGTTTTACTTCGTTAGTAACGATTTCTGATTTAATGAAAAATAGTTCAAAAATCTTATTCAATTCATGAAATTTCCTGAGTATGAATGTAATCAAAGTCCAATGTCAAATCGACGTTACCTAGGTCATTCGTCGTGCAATGCAAACGGGTGATTAGTGAGATCCGATTCGGCTCGTTTCACTTCAATTGCTGGAAGTTCAATGTTCACGTACTTCCATTTGATTTTCAGAAATGTGTCATCATCCAAAAAGACCTTCACTTTTATGACATCCCTCAATTTGATTCTGGTGTCGTTTATTTTGATCATCTTCAAATCCAAATCGCCTGTGACTTTGCGAATGAAAATTTTGCATATTTTCGGTGATTGTCGAACGATGGGCAAAATTTGATCATCAAACAGATCGGCTTTGATTGTTTGTATGTAGATGGTCTCAATATTGGCTATACCATGGAATAGATTGCCTTTGCTGGTCGGTTCAGCTTCAATCGGTTGACGAATGTAGATTGTGGTCAATTTATCCAACGAAGCCAGGGCCGTGGTGAATTCATCATTGATGATGACATCACAATCGAAGTAAATGCCATTCAAGCCGTTCAATGAGGCGATACCGTCGACATTTTGCGTGAGAATGCTTGCATCCACGAGACGTAATTTCAAGTTCTTGAATCGGCCCAATCGATGCAACTTGTTTAAAAATCCGACAAACAATTTCAAGTGCGATTTTTCATCGAGGCTCAATTCAATGTTCAGCTCATGCAAATCGATAACGCTGCTCTGGAATACAGTTTTATTCAACCAAACAATTGACATGGTGGTGGTGAAGCTCTTAATGTGACGATTCTTCTCAAAAAATGGTTTGAGCTGTTCGATTTTCGTCGGATTTTTCACCAATGCCAAATGCTCTAGCGTACGATATTTCTTTCGTAGCCAATCGTCATTGATCCCAATGTGCATACCTTCGTGTGCATAATTTCGAATCGATAAACGCCGCAATTTTTCGGTAAACTGTAGTATCAACTGGTACACGTCACCGTCAATTTTGCAACCGAGGAATTCAATTGAAGCGACTGTCTTCAGTTGGTCTCTTATGCGTGCTCCGAATCCGGTGGAAATCTTCTTGCGATGCGTCTTCTGACCGAATTGAATTTTGTTCAATGGATTTGCCATGGGATTTTCACAAATCTCAGCCAATAGTGTGAAGATTTGAATGTCAGCATCTTCGATAAATACATTGCGATAGTATGGGCCAAAACCATTCGTTGTGCTTGGTTTGAAGTATGACAGCGGCATGCGGATTTTCATCTTTTTCGCTGGGTATTTCAATTTGAAATGATCGGCCGTGACTTTATGCAGCTCTTTGCACGTTGCACCCACCGATTTTATGTCAGCCGATGGCAAAAAATTGAATATTTCATCCAAACAATCCGGCAGCAACGTTGCCAATGTGATGCGCGATTCATTTTCAGTGAAAGCGTCGGTTGAGCTTACATTTTTGGCAGCTTGCTCATCATATTGGTCGTCATGTTGGCCGTCTGGCTTGGCGCCATTTTGTGCATTCTTATCCTCATTTTGGCTCGCATCGTGGTTTTGATCATGCGTCGGATCGTAAATTGAGACATGTTTCGATTCCGATTCATTTTCATGTTGCACCCGTTCATGAATCGTCTCTGGAACCATCGCTTGATTCTGTGTATCCGATTGCTGATCACGTTCTTCCTTTTGCCTCTGCGTATTCGATGATCCGTTCGAATCCAATTCAATCGTTTCGTCATCTGTGTCGATGGAAATCGCTTCCAACGCGGCACTATCGTCAAATTTCGGACGCTTTGCTTTGCTCATGTTGAGACCTAATTGAGCCCATGAAATGAAGAGAAACATGAGTACGAAATGTATTGAAAACAAAAACACACAACGAATCCAGTGACATTTAGTTACAACGACAATTCGGCGAAATATGGCCGAGAAAAAACTACAAAGTGTACAGAACCATTTCCATGTCAGCTAAAAATGTAATTGATTTGCATTGAATTGACTTCACTTCATATTTTTCATACATTTTCTCACCTTTTACACGGTAATTTGTCTATCAACCCAGAAATATCGACGGAAACTCAATTTAATAGATTTTAATGCAAATTAGATGCGTGCATCAACAACATTCCACATGTTGCACTTGTGTTCTACAAGAAAGGGAGTTTGACAGATGATGTTTCGGCGCGAATGGTCGGCATGTCATGTGATTATTACTGACTGAGTCCGTTCAATGATGCCAATTGGAATCTCAATACCAAATTCAATTTTAAAGAGAATGTGATTGGAATTTGACAAATTTTGTCAAACGAATTCGTTGAAAATTCAGTAAATATGATTTTTGAATGAAAACAAATGGTTCCGATGATTTTTGGATATTTTTCTCATCACTTTTGTCTTCAATTTAAATCCGGATACTTTCAAATCTCTTACCGTTCGAATTGAATCATTGCACAATGTTCAAACATTCAAAAATGATAAAAACGTTCATGTTTCTGCCAAATTGCAGCTTTTTATGCCTTTATTATTGAAGAATGAATAAAAAATGTTGGAGAAAAATCTTACTTGCTAAAGAAATCTTACGTTTTTTTTGTTATAAAGATGCATTGGATTGAATGGAATTTCAAAATGCTAACAAATTGTTTGTATTGGAAGCAAAGTAAAAAATGAGTGTGCAATTAAATGCAATGAACATTCGAAAATCTCAACATCAGACAGAAAATGTCAATTGATGACAATTTCAAAGCATTCGTGCTTTCCGATTGATTGATATGTTTGAATGTTCAACTGGTTTCTTTGAATGACATTGAATGCTTATACTCATGCTTGTGCTTCACATTGAATATGACTGAAAATTGACCATTTTTTTGCGGAACAATGCGATTCTGATCTCATTTCTATTTGGATTGAATGCTTTTTGAATGTAACTTGAATGGAAATCGATTGTGAACCAAGGAGAAAACCTGAATTATGATCTTATAAGAAGATTGCCTATTCTACCATTTTTCTTTTGTATATATTTTCTTTGCCTTGCTTATTTCCTCAAGTGGAGCTATTCAAAAGCAGTATGCGTTATGAAGTGAAAATATTGATAAAAAATAATGAAAAGTGAACAAAAAAAAACTTCACATTGATGAAAAATGAACTAAAAAAAGTTGTGTGATCTGATCACAAAAGAGGCATTCTCTCTAGAGAAAAGCGTCAAATTATTGCATGGCTTGAGCTCGATGCTTATGCTTCACGTCGGAAGCTACGAATTGGGCCATTTGCTGTGTATCGATCGATCGAAATGGAACCATCAGTGGCCTTGTCTGTCAGTGCGATCAGTGCATTGAAACGGGTTGCGGGTGTTTCATAAACGTCCAAGTAACGTTGAATGTCAACTGGGTCACGATCATGTTCCATGACCATTTCGTCGATACGATTGTAGTAGTCCGACAAATTTGGTCGACCGCCAAGACGATCGATCCACTCGTATTTGTGCTCTTCCAGAGCTTGGCGAATCAATTCAGCCGGATCAAGTGTGTGTACCTCTGGAACCGTCTGAAATCGAATGAAAAATGCCATTTGCAATAAGAAGCAGAATTTTTGTGAACTTTGAGTTGAAAATGAATTCAATCGAAACAATTCACTTGCCTTGGTCTTGCGAGATGGCTTGCGAGATTTGCCCAATTTCTTCATGGCAGCAATCAAGCCGGGTGTAGCGCGTTCAACTGATTGACGTGCGGTTGGCAAGCCATTTTCATCCAGATCCGCCGGCTGAATGTTAGATGCACCTTCGGGAGCGTTAGCTCCTGTACCAGGATCATTTGCAACGGTGTTTTGCATTTGAACGTTTGACGCTTCAGCAGCTTTAGCATTCGGTGCTGTGGCATTTGGTGCATTTGTGGCTTCTTCGACGTTTGGATTTTCAATTTCAACGTCATATTCTGGAATGGGTGAGACCTGAGCCGTGTCACCGGGTGCGTTATCGTTGCGAGCTTCAACACCATTGCTCATGCCATTGGCATTGGTGAATGCGGAAATGATTGTAGCCAAAGCAACCATATCATTAAGCTGTTCCAATTCATCGTCTGGCGCAACTCGAGCCTATTGGAAGGGAAATTCAAATAAATTAAGGTTTTCATTAGAAATCTTGACACTTTTGTTCAATTTTGGAAGCCATCATCCAAAACAAATCAATATTTGGAAGTTTTAATTCTAAATCAAAATTTTCAATGCGGATTCCGCATTGCAGAACGAAACTTGAGATTCTTATTTGAAATCATATGTACCACTTGTGGCAAGTACTCAAAAAGTGACAATCTTTTTCGAACTCCGATTTCAAGTAAACTCACCGAAACGGATTCGTTATCAACGGCTTGATTCTGGCGAGGAAGACGACGACGGGCACGTCGCACCTATAATAATGAAAATTTAAAAATGAAATTGAAATATTCTTGGAATGAAAATGCAAAATGCTACCAATATTTCTTAAGAAAAGGCAAAACTGAGCGAAATTTACAGTCGAGTTGCATAAATTTTCTTTAGAATTTAACTCACCCGTCGATTGGGAACGTCATCGACTGGCACTGCATTCTGATTCGGTGCTTGCTGTGGCACTTGATTTATTGCGGCGGCTTCCGCTGAATTTTGTGCTTGATTTGCCGCTGATTGATTTCGAACTGATTGTGGTCCAAATTCATCTAGGGCCTCTTGGCGAAGAGCTGCTTGATCTTCGACACCAAAATCAGACATTGTCGACGGATTCACATCAGGGATATGCACTTCATCAATGTCAGCTTCTTGATACTGTGGGTTGATCTCCGGATCAACGTCGATATTCGGATTCTGATCGATGGATGGTTGGGCATCAGCTGGAATGATTTCATTTGTGCGGCGACTATCTGCCCGTTGCGGAACAATGTTCTTCTTGGGTTTTTGCGTTGGCGCAAGATTTTCAGGCGTCGGTACTGACGATTGACGGTTTGCACTGAACAAAACGATGGAAAAAAAAATTGTTGAAAATTCATTTTGAGCGACACTTCCGCGGTTCACAAGGAACTGCAGGCAAAAAAACTAGGAGAAAACAAATCCGATGCCAAATTTTATATGAAAGCATGTGTACTTTGTTCCAACAATTGAATCTCACCGATCTTGAATTTCCATCCCCATCCAATAGTAATGGTTTTTCATCGCGTAATACTCCTGCAAACCCTTGTGTATCACCAGCATCTGATTCGCAAAATTGAAGTTCACTTGACCAGCAGCATTCTTCAGTTTGAATGGAAGTTGGGCTTCTGATGAACTTGAAGCGAAAATAGTACCGAAAAACCATTAAAATACGTCGATCATCCATAAAAATAGCACAATTGCGCGACTCACAACTGCATACATTCAGTTGTGAGGCAAAATCGAAGCATTTTCATACCGAATCGCTTTTATCGCCAAATGCAAACATGAAAATACTTACTCGAACAAATTGATTGGGAAATGCATGTAGCCGGGGAATACATAGCTGTCACCACGCATGCGACACAATCCAGCATTGTACAAATGTTTGCCGACCATGGCACCCGTCCAATTTTGCTCGAAATCAGGTTTCATCAAGCGACCTTCGCGCAATTTTTGCACTGTTGTCTCGTAATCCATTTTCGATGACATTTTGTACGTGAGTTATTTGCTTTTTTGCACCAAGAAATGACAATTTGTATGACTTCACCTTTTTTCTTAGTATGACTTGACCGAATTACACGTCGTTGGTTTTCCGAACCGAATCGAGCTACTGCTACTCTGCGACTGACTGTCTTGTCGAATTGCTGCCGCTCACACGAGTGAAGTGTTCGGTTCTAAAACCGACGCTCTTTGGCATCAACTTTTTTCCTCTTAGCCAAAAACTCCTGACGATTGCATTTTTTCGTCTTACGACAGACAAAAACAGGAAACAATACCAAAACAATGATCGGATTTGAGAGAATAATGTCCGCATTGTCACGATTTTGCTCACTCCGTTTGTCGACTGAAGAAAAGTGCCAGCTCAGCCGATTTGACATAAGCAACTTCGTTTGTTTCGTGTCAATGAAGACCGCGTGATTATTTTGCACACATAAGCAGATTGATTGTTCCACACATTGCTCAGGTTTTTATGAATTTTACAAGCATCGATTCATATTGAAATTTTTTTTTCTTCCGATTTTCCAATTAGAAAATGTCCAACTTAAATCCAATAAATTTATTGGAAATTTTTCTTCTACAAATCTCAATGTTTTCACCTCCACAAATTACAAAATTGTGACGATGAATGATGTTACCTTGAACATCATTGAACGCATTCAATCACACTCTACATTGTAGAGTCTACAATCACACCATGTGCCAAATGTTTTTCGTCGATATTTTGGATGTAATAGAAAAATTATCCTCCAACAGGTGAGTTTGAGTAGAAAAATTGTGAAATCAACGCAATTTTGAGGGATAACAATTACATTTTTCGTTGACATAGAACGATCGTGAATTTTTTTCCTCTCCTTCTTTTTCGGAGAATTGTTGTTGGTGTGACTGAATGCCACTTGACTTTTTGTGACTTTGCTTTGAATTTGTTGTATCCCGGCGAATTGAATGCTTTTTTTTCTTTCGTGTGTGTCTTCATTTTGTGTCATTGATTCGATTAGGATTCAGAATGAACAAGACACAGTGTTGGAAACCGAACAATAGCGCAGATGTAGAAGCGATTCTCATCGATGGCGACACAAATCACAAGTTAAGTGAGATGGATGTGAAAGAGAGACAGAGATGAGAGAAAGACCGCATGGAGCAAGATGTAGTTGACATAACTAGAAGTCAAGAGACGAAACGAGAGACAGTTCTGGGAGCGGCCGGCGGCAATGTGTGGAACAATCAATCTGCCTATGTGTGCAAAATATTTACACGGTCTTCATTGACACGAAACAAACGAAGTTGCTTATGTCAAATTGGCTGAACTGGCATTTTTCTTCAGTCGACAAACAGAGTGTTGTATCCATGAATCGAATGCAGTTGTGAGCACAATCATGTCAATACGGACATTGTTCAGTGAATTGCAATCATTGTTCTCTCAAATCCGATCATTGTTTTGGCATTGTTTCCTGTTTTTACCTGTTGTAAGACGAAAAAATGCAATCGACAGGAGTTTGTGGCTAAGAGGAAAAAAGTTGATCGCAAAGAGCGTCGGTTTTAGAACCGAACACTTCACTCGTGTGAGCGGCAGTAATTCGACAAGACAGTCATCAATCACAGAATAGCAATAGCCGTCGAAAAGCAAACAGAAAGAGAAATTCTCTTGAACTCTCGACTGTGGAAGGGTTACTTGGCCGAATGGAAAAAGTTGTTTTTCAACACATTTTTCCTTGAATAAAACTGAAGAGCAGTTCACAAAATTGGAGAGGATTTTCGATCGAGGTAAAAACAATTCAAACACAATTTTGCATTCTGTTCGTTTTAATTGTTAAGTAAAATCAGAAAATCTACCCAAAAATTCCAAGTACCGATTGAAAAATTATCCAAAAAAAATTGTCAATTTCTTCCGATCTCCATAGAAAACATCAAAACAATGTCTGGTCAAGTATCTGAGCTCATTCTGCCAGAGGTATCTGTGGAATCACCATCAACCTCGATCGCATCACATTCGACAACGTCAGATCGCAAGCGACCGCGTGAAAGTGACTCGGATTTTCTGCCAAATGCCAAGAAAGCCATCGATTCCGAGCCGAGTGCGACACAGTTCACCGATTTGAACATCGATTGCCTGGCGTATGTGTTCGACCGACTTGAACTCATCGATTTGTTCAATGTGGCCAATGTGACGGCAGACATCAAGACAGCAGCTAAATTGGTGTATTCAAAGCGATACTCAAAGCACCTGCTCAAAATCAGCGGAATGAACAAGCCATTGGCGATTGATCTCAATGATTCGATTATTTCCATCAGTTCGGTGCCAATTTGCACAACATTCCTGGATGCATTTGGTGATTCGGTGAAAAAGTTGCAGCTAGAATACATCACCAATAAACAACTGACGGACGATTGGATGGGAGTGCGGAAATTGATCCACGAGAAGTGTGCTAAACACGTGATTGAATTGAAATTGGTAAATTGCGAAGAGGAAATGTTTGCTGGCGTTCAAAGTGCTATGGAAAATGTGAAAAGCCTGCGAATCAGTTGCAGCCATCTGGGCAAATGCGTCGAATTGGACAAATGGTTTCCGGTCATCGAGCAACTAGAGTTGATGCACAACGATGGTTGTGTTCAAATTCAAAGCTACTTCCCCTATCTGTGTTATTTGGCGATGGACATGTGCCTGACAACGGTGGACATTGAAACGATGCTCAAATCAGCACCACAGCTACACACATTGCGCTTGTGGGGCGGTATCGATGCAAGCCTACTGCAATTCATCAGTGAGAATCTGCCAAATTTGAAGGATTTGCGATTGAATGGCTTTCATTTGGTGACGGAACAAGATGAGATCATACGGTTCAAGAGTATTGAAACGCTGCAAATCTTCACCGGATTTTTGGGCGAATTGCCAGACGATATACCATTCGAATTCGAGCGACTCAAGGAACTCCGATTGGTCGCCGATTCACTTGGAGACGATTGGATTGACTTTGCATTGCGACAAACTCAACTGGAAAAGCTACAGCTTGACACGTTTTGGAAACCAGAAATTGTCGACGGTCATTTGGTCGAACTGGCCACCACACTCACTCAGCTCAAGGAAGTGGATGTTGTCGCTGATGTGACGGCTGAAGGCTTGACGCGTTTTTTGGTGCAACACAAATTGTTGCAGAAGATTCGCATCACGAAATACGACGAGATTCAGTACGATGCTCTGACCAAAGCAGCCGGCACGAAGTGGCACTTGACCCATGAAGAACGATCCATGACCTTTGAACGGAAAAATTGAAGCCATGAAGCAAATCAAGACGTTCAAAGCGATGGAAGTTTCGATTAAAATTTGACGATCATTTTTCAATTCAGTTAATTTTGAATTTGATCCAAGTTTTTTTCAATTTTCTATGAATTTTTAGTCATTTTGAAAAGATTTTTGGAAGTCAGTTCCATTTAGATTTTAACAGAATGACTTATCATGGTTTGATTGCGTTAAAATTGTCCTAAAATGCATAAAAATCATATCATTGTTCAATCATTATATTTTTTTGTTTCGAACTCATTAAAAAAGACTTCGTTATGCGTGTGTTTCAATAACAACATCGGTCTGATTTGCCTCTTATTTCATCGAATACGCAAAAAGTGAAACAATGACTCGAGAACACGGTAAGAAGAAGTCTACTTCTCATGCTACAACAACACCACCATTGTGTGGATTTTATGAAATTCCTTCGAACGGAACTCTTTTTCTTCTTTTGAGTCGAGCCGGCAATAACAAAACAGTGCAAATGGTATTAGCGGTTCATATTCCGGTAAAGCGCGCACAATGCAATGTTCATGTTTCGTTTGGAGTGCGTATTCACAAACAAATCACATATACACCACCACACTCTCGATATCGGCTATCCAAGCAATAGGCAATCACATGTTTCTGACTCACACTCTCGTCTACTCAGGCAAGTATAAGAGGAATGAAGAAAAAAACGAGAGTCTCAAAGTGTTTGTGTGTGCGCTTCGGACTCTGCAGATACATGTGTGTTGAGTACATTGCACAGTAGGCGGTCTGTAAAGCGGCTACGCACACACAATCATTACATCTTTTTCTACGTCGGTGAATGTGCTCCTTTCATTGTATTGCATCACTTGATCGAGCGACACTTCTGTCATTGTCAAAATCATTCCGTTCAGCAGCCGACCGACGAACACGAACTAATTTACGCTTCAAAACATTTTCAATTATCCACGTGCCAAGCATTACTCGTTTTGTTTTGTCGGTAATTGTTTACAATCGAAAAAAATTGTGTCTGTGCTGCAAAAAAAAAAAAACGCTCGAAAAATCCCAACGATGTAAGTTTTGCTATGCATTTCATAAGGTTTTGTTGTGAATCGAAAGTGTCAACTCTTCAGAATTTTTTGCTGAAGAAAAAAGTCAACAAGGAAGTGATTTTCCGATCAATTTTTTTTTTTCGATAGTGGAAACAAAATGTGCACATTTTGATAAATTGTTAATTTTTTGTTGTTCGGAAAGCAGTTTTTAAACCGATATTTTTTCAACAAAATTTTTGATATTCAACAAAGCGCATTGTTTTTGCATAAGAATTCGTCGTTTTGCACACGACAATAAAACGACATGAACTAAAGTCATTGAATACACAGTGTGTTTGTGAAAGTGTGAACCGACACAGGCCGTTTGTTTCTGTGCAACAGATGTGCGATAAGAGAGAGGCTCTGTTAGCGGGAATCATTAATATATTCCATTTGTGTACTCTGGTGACGTTTGCCTATTTCGTTCACATTGTGCATATTTTTTACTGCTCATAAAATATTTATTGTGTGTTATTTTTTGTTGATTTATTTGTTCCGAGACGAATTTATCTATATCTGTTTTTCGACTTTTGTAAATAGGTTCAAATTGAATCAGTTCTTTCTTATGAATTCCACACGTTCTTCTTCATCCAATTCACAATTATTTGTTTATTTTTTTTCACACTGCAAAACATTGGTGCTGATTCCAAACTTCGGAATGAAAGAAATTAACTCAAAGTCAAGAAAGAAAGGGAGAGTTTGTGATTTCTTATGTGTTTTGGAAAATTTTCAAAAAAACTCAAAGAATACTATGTTTTATCCCTGACGAAGAATGATTTCATTGTGGAATTTATCCCTGTAAAAATATCCGAACAAATTCTTTTTTGCAAAATTGTCTACATTTTATTTCACGAATTCTACTGCACAGTGTATGTAGCGTACAAAGTGAACAATGAACCTACGTATTTACATCTGCCACCTTTGAGCTCGTGATTGACTCTGACAATCGTGAGCCAATAATTTGCTGCAAATTTAAAATTACACGCTAATTGCCATCTATTTCAATTATATTAACCATAAATGGCATTTTTAATGCCTCCGTCAAGAATGTTATGCCAATGGAGTTTTTATTGGATAAAATGTCTGATTTCCTGAAATAAATATATTTGATGGAAAGAGGCAAGAAATTTCTTTCTGATTGGAAATGCCACCAAAATATTCACTCAAAAATCCAATGAAGAGTCCGATGAAAGTTCAATCGGAAATTCAATATTAATAAATTGTAATGCAAGCTAAGTGAACTAACAAAGTTTTCGTATTTTTCTTTATTATTAACGTAATGTGATCAATTGAGTTGACAGAATCGAATTTTTGTGCTGAAAATTCTCTTTTCTCGTATATTTCTTCACTAGCTAAATCTGTTAACTAGCAGCATTGCATGCTCAATTTTTGTTCAAAGCAGACGTTGTTTATTATTTTTCAGAACGGTTTGTTCCTAGCCTTAGATTTTTATGTGTTTTGGTGCTACAAATCCTCTTTGCTCTAACGGTAATGGGAAATCCCCGTAATTAGCAATTTATAACAGACCATTCGTACGAATAAATGAGTCGTCTTGTTTTTATTTTCCCTTGGATCAAAGGTCGAACAAGCGATTTTTCGATCAAAGGTCGAGCAAAGAATATCAACATTGACAAAATGTTCATTACGTTGAATTCTATGCCCAAAAGTAGAAATGCTTCAAATCAAGTTAGCACTTCGTCGCATAGTTCTCACCAGGGCTTGCGAATTGAGCTCCGAATTAAGAAAAACCAAAAGACAAACCAAAATTTCAAATGAATGATAATTTTTTTTCTCTTCCAAATTTCAGATGAGATAAGAGAATTAACGGGAAAAATGGATAATTCAACGGAGGAATCTGCTTCACCGGCAAAAAAACAACGAGTTTTGTCGCCAGTCAAATCTGAGCCATCACCAGTGAAAACTGAACCGGGCGCTGATGAAAAATCTGCCGACAAAAATGCTGACCATTCATCTGTTGCTGACTCATCCAACACATCCATCGTTACACCCGACCAAAGTGCTGAGCACAACAATGAAATTGCCACTACTGCTTCATCTCCTGTAAAAAATGGTACGAAAATCACCGATTTGGACGAAAAATGCTTGGCCGAACTCATGAAGCGTCTTGACTTCTCCGATTTGCTGAACGTTGCGAATTCGACGAAAAAGTTATGCGCTGGCGCTTGTGTGGTGTACAGCCAACGGTATGCTGACAAATTTGTGAAGTACAATGGCGATGCAATCAGCACGAAAGTCCTAGAAATTGATGTAACGATTCATTTTCATTGATTCCATCACTTTGTCATTATTTCTCATTAATTTCATTTCATTTCTTTTGTGATTTTCTTTCTAGGTAACCGACACCACAATCGAAATCAACGACGCTCGATCGTGTTTGAAGATGTTGCGCGGTTTTGGCACTCACATAACAAGGCTGAGGCTGAATTTCAACGGAATCGGACCGCGACGAAGCCATGCGATCTCTCAAGCTGTCACAGAATATTGTCCGAAAACGTTGGTCGAACTCGAATGGCTGGTGTGCCCGAAGAACGCAATGGAAAATTCCACCGAAAAGTTCACAAAATTGGAAAGTCTACGCATCGTCTCTGGTTACTTGGGTATGGAAATGTCTTGTTTGAGTAGTTGTATGTTAGAAAGCAATTAAAAATGCAATTTTCTGTTTTTAGGCGAAAAAATGACCTTGTTCACATTTTTCTTCCCGAATCTACGGCGTCTCGAGTTGACCAACGTTGAAGTCAGCGATCGGAAAAGCATTGAGCGAACTCTACACAGCGTAGTTCATCTGAAAGTCAACATTGAAAAGCGCAAAGGAATGGATTTCCTAAAGTCGAACGTGAAAGCTGCCCTGAACCTCAATCCACAACTGACTAGCTTCAGCATTGGCGCGAACTGTGACGTCAAACTGCTTGATTACATCAGCGATCAATTGCCAAAACTCGAAACATTCGAAATTTTGAATCCACGGAAAAAGTTTTTCGACACCACAGAAGACCGTGTGTGCTTCCGAACGGTGAAAAATTTCTCGCTGGACATCGCCGAGTGCAAGGATTCGTTCTCAAACATCCCGTTCAGATTCACACAGCTGAAACGGTTCAAGCTGAACGCTTGCTATCGACATCGCGACGAATGGATCGATTTTGCTGCGCAAAATCCACGAATCACACATTTGCATCTGTTGAACTTTCACTGGTTCTACGTGCTGAACAAGGAGCAACTGATCAAAATCTCACAATCGCTACCGAGGCTCACTGATTTTGTTTTGGATTGGCGCGTTTTTTCAACGGAAGCCGTGGCACAATTTGTGGAACAGTGCGATAAACTCAAGAAAATGCGATTGTCGATGCGCACACGACCTGAACGAGCGGCAATTTATGCGGAAATCGGCCAAGGATGGGACATTGACATTGATGAACATTTCATGACCATGGAACGAAACAACAATTAGTTTAAGAGATAATGTAGATTAAGACCGTCTCACATGGACATTGACTATAGTCGACATCGATAAAGAGCGGCAACGCTATTACAGCATTCTCTGATAGGAAATAAGTCATTCTTTAATAGGAATGATAGATCGGCTGTAAATGGCTTATTGAGCCAACAAAGCAGGCATTCATTGATCTTACCAAAAAGTTTATTTTCTGTGTATCGGAAAAGAGGAAAGCGGGAATTTCATATGATTTTCATTGGATACTAGAAAATTTGGAAATTTTACGCGGTTTTCATCAATTTCTAAAAATTGTGATCATTTGTTTCCGTCAAATTTTACAATTCACAATTTCCAAAGACATTCGGATTATGTTAATTGACAAGTTATTTAAGACTAAAAATCTCTCTTCAGTTTGAGTTTAGCCGCAATATAGATTGATTTTTTTGCAATATTTGGTGGGATTTTTCCTAATTTCGTGAAAGAAAGAAACCTCATACAAATATTTACTCAACAAATTCGAATCATTCGAATCGAATGGTTCAATCATTTTCAAAAATATGTGAAATTTCTGAGAAAAAAAATGAAAAATGGGGAAAAAATGCAACCGAATGAATTCAATGGAATTCGGACTTTATTTTTTGAGCAAAAACGGATTCAATACCGTACCAAAAAATTGTAGTTACAAATCAAGTTATTCAACTAAATTTAGCTAGATTTAGACATCATGATATTAATTGCAATAAAAAATATTTTTAGCACTACATGGAATGTAGTATACATGGAATATAGGCTATTGGAATTGTTTTATTTTTTCACGAGAAAATTTTAAGACTCTTTAGGCCACTTTTTTGGACCGAAAATTAATTCTTTTTTCTATCCAAAGTTCTAATTTGAAATGAAGCAATTACGCCTAATTAAAAAAATTACGTATATAACGTAAAAAATTGTTTTTTATTATTTTTGTTTTCTTTAAATAAGAAAGTGCCAAAAATTGCAATAAATTTTCATGCAATTTATGAATCCAAGTATTTTTCAAAGAAATTTTTATATTTTTGATGTGAATAAAATAAGATTGTTTAAATGAAAATGATGTTTTTTTCTGCATAAATCAAATTCATGGAACTTCAGCTCAGTTTTTAATTGAAAATTCTATCATCAGAGAACTTACCATTATATTAGAATTTAAAAATATTTTGGACATTGATGTAATGTGATTTTTTAACGAATGAACCATTTTGTATCAAAGTATTTTCTTGTACAGTTATTTTAATGTGTCAAAATTGAAAGTTTGGCATAAACCTAACGTGAGAGCTGAAAATAGCTGAATTGGACCCGAATTTCAAGACTCAACCAATGATGAATTCATTGTGTTTTCTCGATGTGTTTATGAATTCATATGTGAAATTTGATACCAATGAAGGAATTTAATATTTTTAGTGCATAAAGTGGGCGAAATAACGCATAAACAATTTGATGTCCGTGAACATCAATATTGGTGACAAGCAAGCTTCACTTTTTTTCCACTACGAAGTACACCGGCGCTGTGTGTACGAAAAATCGTTTGTATGGTTCATGTCGCGTGGATGGGTTCAACTACATTCGTCCCCTACTAAAATCTGAAATCCATCTGTAGAATCGTTCAATTTTTTGTTACTACCGTGTAATGAAGGTGATGAAGGAATGAGCCTAAACATCTGGTATTTTCGATGTGATACATTTGATGTGAAAGGCAATATTATACACACGCGTACAGGTGGATTTGTAATTCCATCAATTGTTTGAACAATTTTTAATGAAATTGTAACTATACGTGGATTAAATTCTACGTTACTGTAGAACCGCACTTGAAAAGTACATAAGATGCGTTCGATTCGTCTATCCATCAAACAGTTCGTCAATTCTCTTCAATTGATACGTTCACAGTAAACTATTATTATATTAGTTCGAAGCTAAAAAATATGCTGAGTCGAAGATCTTTCACACTGCTGCTCATTGGTTTGGCGGTATCCGGGGTGAGTTGGCAGTTTCAGTCATTTTTTTCACTTGCAAATTTTGAATCGAATTTTTCAGTCGACTAATTTCGTTGGAAAAATCTTCCATTCCAAGAACGATGTGACATCGTCGATGTCCATCGGGAACTTTTTTTTCGAATGAAAAACAGTCGAAAACAATTCCTACTTCATCCATTTTTCCCATTCCAATTGTATCACTTTGTTCTATTTCCACAGTTCTTAATCGGGGATGTGAGTGGAGCACCATCTGGAAGGGACGGTAAGACTGAAGCTCTATTTCTTTATCCAGTTTTCACTCTCATTATACGAAGTACCTTTTGATGTATGGAGTATATGAAATAAATAGACATTTACTTCAATCCAATACGGTGATGCCGTACATCAGATTTCACTGATGTTACACATACGCAACGAATGTATAATATTATTGCCTCATCACAGCCGGCGACAGCAGGCGCGAGTGACGAAAGCACCTCTGTGCTGAAAGTCGAACTCGCCTATATATACACGCAATTTCGAACTTTTTTCCTAAGAGGCCATCTGGTATGAATGAAGTATCGCTAGAAAGCCCCTGGCTCATATGCCCAGAAAATGCATTCAAACTTGGGAATCGACCAACCGCCTCCATAGAAATAGCCACTTGAAAATTATGTACAATTATCAGTTTTTCCCATTTACCGGGTGTTGAAGGCCCGTTCAACTTGAATCATGTTTTTTCTGAGTCTACTCGTCGAGACCTTTCCAACAAGCCCAAGAACGTTGAAATCGGACCATCCGTTCATGAGTTATGGCCATTTGAAAATTTTCTTTGGCGTCTCCACCAATTATTTTAAGATAATATTTTTTCTGTCCGTCCGTCTGTCCGTACTTTTTGTCCGATCTTTTTCAAACTTTCAGGCATTGAACTATATCAAAAACTAAGACTTTTTTGTTCCGCCACTTTTTGATTTGGCCGCCATCTTGGCCTTGGCCGGCCTTTGAAAATTCAAAATATGGCCTTCTTTCCAATGATCACTGTGCCTAACCCAGTCAACCGATTTCAAACTTTTGGGTATCGTTGGAAAGGTCTTGAGGCCAGCTATCAAATGACATCTATTTTGATTTGAAAAAATTGAGTTGGCATGATCTTATGGGCTGAAAACCCAAAAAATGGTCACCTGGCCTTGCACAAATCGGCCATTTTCTCAAAAACGGCGCCGACGATTTTTTTAAAAACTCTCTGGAATTTAGCCCCAAGTTAGAGCTAAAATTTGACATATAGCTTATATCTGGCAAAACTCTGTGTTTTGAGATATAGCCATTAGAAGTTGGAAAAAACATGAAAAATCGACAAAAATCGACTAAAACTCATTTTTGTTGCCGTAAATAAGGGCAAAATCAAAACCAAAGTGATTTTGCGTTCAGATAAATAAAATTCCTTCAGATACCAGTCCTTCACTAAGTCTTTTTATTCCACGCAATCAACAAAAAACACAAAAATCACTTTTCATGAAAAAATCAAAATCAAAAAAATTCATCATGAAAAAACTAAACATGTGATAGTTTCTTAGTATAAAAGCGATATGTAATTTCATCAAAATAAAATGTAATTTCGTCTGTCTGTCCAAAAACCAAATTTTATTTAACGAAAAAAAAAATTTAAATTTTTTTTCCTCCGGTGTGCGACTCGAACTCGAGTCCACACGCTCATGAGTCTGCTTTCGCGCTGATTTTGCTTTATTCAAAAAGGCGACAATGCTGGTTTTTAACATAGGGAAAGTGCCACAATACATTTCAAATGTAAGTCATTTGACACATAGCAGTCAATGCCATCTCAATTCCAACTCATTGAATCATTGTATTTTTCGGCAACTTTTTTCAAACGTGTATGGCTTTACTAGAATATAATCAACTTTACAGTGACGCTAACAGCTTCTCTGTGGGCCGGTACTACGCGTTAGCCAAAACTTATTGATGTTTTGCAATGGTTACTCGATGCATTTGCCAAAATACTATGATTTTTGTACTCTCTTCTACGATATGTGTGCACGTGCAGAGAAGCTGCTAGTGTCGTTGTAAAGTTGATTATATTCAACTCAAGCCACACACGATTTTAAAAAAGTTGATCGAAATATTCGATGATTCAATAAGTTGGTTTAGAGATGTCATTGGCTGTCTTTTGGTATTCCGGCAATATATTTATGGTTTTTAACTACAACATTTCATGTTTTATTTTCTTTGGCTCAATACACACCACTTTGTGTTTGTTTAGTGTTAGTTGGTTTTGTTGAAAAAAAAATTTCGGGTACAAAACAACTGATATCAAATAAAAAAAACTTCTTTCGAAGTAATTCCTCGTGACGAAAGCGAACATAAAACAGC